GGCCCCCCCCCCCCCCCCCCCCCAGTGCACAAATTTTTGTGGCACCGGGCCCTAGTCATATTATAAAAGCCAACCCAATTAAAATTCCTATAGTTAGTGATTGCTGGACAGCTAGTGTTATGGTATAACTTGGAAGTAGGAAAATGCTGCTTTTACTCAATTTTAAAAGAAACCATTTCAGCCACTAACATTTCTAAATTGTATACATTACTTGAGCCGTGAAGAAATGAGCTATAAATGACCCACAAGCCAGTCGGTTCTGGATATTAAATGACAACTAATAAATGACTTTTAGGTTAAGAGGTTGCAACACAATAATTCTTCAGGATCTGCATACCTCTTCATTCAGTTCCTGGTAATGATTTAATGATTTTTTAGTTCTGCCTGCAATGCACATAGACTTGTTCTATGTGAGGGGACACTCCTCTACAAGCACAAGACCAATGTGTGAACCTTCCTTTGAAGGAGGAAATTGGGGAAGGGAGTTGGATAAAAAAAAAGAGAGAGAGTAGGAAATAGAGAAGTAGAAAGAGAGAAAGATGGGTTAAAAATGTTATTGTAATAAAGATGTTTTCAGTGAAGGTATAATGGCTGATCAGTTGGAAATAGATTACTGAATCAAATTTTATAAACCAAGTTCCTATATGTTTTTTTCTTATACCTCCAGGATTTCACTACAGTTCCACATGCATAAGTCCAGTCTTATCTCCTCCCCAGCGCCAACACCTCTACAGATATAGCATCAAAATCTACAGATGCTACTGGGCCTTGGGAGTAGAGGAGGTGGGACTTATAGACTCATTTTACAGGAATAGTTGAGGGAGGGGCACAGCATGCTCAAGGTCACATAGCACAACAGGAAACTTCCAAGAAAAACTCAGTCTGCTCCCCAGCCGGTAGAAGGTCCTCAGGGAAAGAAAAGGCTCATATTCTCTCACACATTCTCTAAGTCATCCGCTTTTGGCTTCATGAACTCTAACTGGTAAAAATATTTATTGTTTGGTAACCAGGTTTAGATCTTGACCAACACTCAATCTTTAAAAGAAAAAGAGAAAAGAAGGAGGGGGAGAGAGACACAGACAGCAGGAATAGCACTTGTGCTTCCATGACTTACACCTGCAGCAGGTGTCATACTTGGTAGTCAGTATCATGAGTCAACCCCTTTCCCCTAAACCTTCAGCACTTAAAACCTACTACAGGTTAGGGTTTTGTGAGGAATGACAGTAGGAGACAGGGATAAGGGGGAATAACACTACATTCTTCCTTCTTCTCTAGCAAATGAACATGTTTAGGAGGTTTATTTCCCCAAACCCAGAATAAGTATCAACACTAAAAACACTTTGAGGTTTGGATCATATCCCTAATACTGAAATGCAAATGTACACTTTCTCTTCTATCAGTAAGAGAATATGTTCACCTATTTTGCATTCACCCTGGAAAAGTCAGTATCTATATATATAAAAGTGTAAGCGACCATTACAACCAGATGACCGGATGACTGGACAGTAGCTATGATGCGCACTGACCACCAGGGGGCATCTTCTCAATGCAGGAGCTACCCCCTGATGGTCAGTGCGCTCCCACAGCCAACCTCCCACAGCCAGCCAATCTCCCGTGTCCCCTCCCCACACCCCCTGCTCCCGGCTGGTCCCGATTGGCCCTGATCACTGGCCTGGCCGAGGGACCCCACCTGTGCACAAATTCATGCACCAGGCCTCTAGTTTGGATATAAATATGGTGGTCCACCGCTAATTGCCATTATTACTAACTGCTTTGCTTATAGCCAAATATACAGTGACTACTTTGATCACTTGCCTGAGAGTCAAGATAGTGTTGTGACTAAGAACTCTAGCTCTGAGCCCCATCAGCCTGGATTTGAATCCTACTTCTATTTACCAGCTGTGAGCCCTGGGCAAATTATCTACCCTCTCTGTGTCAGTTTCCTCATTTGTGAACTTGGCTAATAAGAATAATGTGTACTTCGTAGGATTACCGTATTGTGAGGATTAAATGAGTTTGTACATGACCATGTCTAGAAGAGAACCTGGCACATAAAATACCCTCAGTCAACATTAACTAATCATCTTCTCCGCTATCTTACCTTCTCTCTCTGAATTGCCTTCATTTTTTGGATTTCAGCTTCTTCAGCTTCCTTCTTGATTCTTATAGATTCTTCTCTTTTTAGCTAAAATGTATTGAGATTACAGAGGACAAAAAACAGTTACTATTTTTCAGTCTGAATCTCTGGAACACAAAATTATGATGAAAGGCAAATTACAGTATTGTTTGTGCTCTACCTCACCATGATTATAGGTTGGTATTTCAAGTACTTAGAGCACAGAGACTGGCCAGGCTACTTCTCCTGCCTATGAAATTTCTCTTTGTATTTCTTCCTTGGTCTCCATCTGTCTTCTCCCACCCACCATCCCCCAATCTGGGTTGGGGAGGAAAAAGAGTGGGCAGATAATTTTCCCTGATTATAAAACTCATGACGTGCCTTGTAAAAAATCACTAAGCACCTTAAATATTTTCTTTTTTTAATACTTTCATGACTGCTATCCGGTAAACAAATCCATGTTGTTGCAAGCAAAATATTCAAAACATAGTAGAGTTAAACTAGGGAAAAAAATCCCTGAACCAGGGGTGCTGCTGACTAATGTATGGCTTGGATGGAAATTCTAGATATATCTCTCTTCAGCTCCTGATTTCTTTGCCTTTGAGAGTTCCCTTTTGCAATTGCTTGAAAGGTTTTATGTTTCTGGTAAGTTACTGTGTTATTTCATAGTTACTAGAAAGTGCTGGTGCTCAAATTCCTTGCCAAAATTAAACTAAAAGAGATGGATTCTGACCTTTTGCTGGTATTTAGATTGCAACAGTTGGAGTTGTTGTTTCTGCCTCACTTCAGCTTCTGATTGGCTTCCACCTAAGGAAAAAAAAAGTCACAAAGTTGAAACTTGAATGTTAACCTGAAATGTCAGCCATCAAAAACTAATTAATACATGATATGACTACACAATGAGTTTCTTTAATATTTTTATACCTCTAGAAATAAGGACATAACCAGTTTTCTTAATAAGACATTAAATAATGGCCATCACTTAAAAGATAGACAAAGCTAGACAGATAGACAATATTCCTAAAAGAACAGGACAATCCTACTTGAGTTTTCCACTTGTGTCAATATTCAAGTTTTCCTTTAGATGGAAATCATGCCGCAAGTTCCATACTAAATAATAAGAAATACTGCTTGTTTTGGAAATTCTAGAACATTCCTTCTGCTTAAGTATGACCATTTCTTAACCATGATAAGGATTATTATCAATGATGCTTCACTTGCTTTTCTTCTTCTGGCCCGATTGTCCTGATTCAAGTGGCAACACTCAGGAAATCCTCAGGGCTCTTGCCACTAAACAAATATGGGGTCTTTATAACCCAGTTTTTAAAAGTACTGTAGAAATATTATTATTTGTAATTGATTGTCAATCTATACTATTTATTGTTCTTTCTGTAGGTATTCATGAAAAATATATGAATGTTAGATTATTTGCCTGCTCCCTCTTTAAACCTAAAATAATTAGGGGCCAGAATGCAGCTTGATAATCATCTACTAGTAAGAATTGCTATTTAGGGATTTCTTAGTGTTTATGCAAGCATGGTATGTCTATTACAAAAATCCCTTTGAAATAATTCTCTGGTGTTTTTGTCACTAAACGTGTCAGTTCTCTGATTCCCTCTCACAGAAGATGCATTAAAATAAATTGCATCACCATAGTTTTTATAATTGAACTGATAAAGACACCATAGGGACTTCTCATCTGAGTCCCAAAAGATATATAAAGCCTGTTTGGTTTGGGCCCTTTCATCTCTGTTGTGGGGGATGGAGGAAAGGGAAAGAAAAAGTGAGGGCCACAAAAAAAAAAAAGTGAGGGCTATTAAAGCTTTTATATAATGTTTCAGCCACTTTCAGAATCTCCTCAAACTATTCCAATATTTTAAAGAGTAGAGGAATAGGGGAAGAGCTGAGAATAAAAATAAATGAAGATAGTCAGATGTATACAAAGCATTTACAGGTTTTGTTCAAAAATCATCATAAAGTTTAATACACTCTGGAACTTTTTTTTCCTACCCCCTAGCCCCTTTCCACACAGATATCTGTGGCCATTTCTAGATATGTCAAAAATGAGATTCTGTCCTTTCTTAGCTAAGGTCTGAAGACAATAGTAGCCAACCATTCCAAAATCCAAAACAAGGTACTTGGATCCCTAAGCAGGATCTTCAAGGAGGTAACTAAACAAGTTTAGAAAACTTGTAATAACAACTACATTCAGCCTATAAAAAGGGTTGAATAGGTCAAAGGGAGGTAGAAATCAGAGGATGTCTTTGTGGATTCCATCTTCTCTGTGTCTTTGGGGAAGGAGGAATCTTCATGTAAAGATGAACAAGAGACGTTGAATGAAAATCACTTGATGATCTCAATGCATTTCCTCAAGAGACTGAGGGACCTAGTGGACCCATGCCTAGAAAAGTCAGAGCCCAAAGGCTGTTGTCAGTTGTCTACTCAATGAGTCATCAACAAGAGGTGGCTGCATGGCAAATGGCCTGTTTTCCCAGAGTTTGTGTTTCCTGTACTCCCAATCTGAGTTGTCATGAAGGAGAATGTTGAGCTAAAGCTGTCCTAAAGGGACTTGCCCATGTGAGCCACCTGGAGAAACAAATGCAGCCCTACAGAGAGAGTCTACCTACCAAGAACCAATGGTGAAGCCACGGTGACAGCAGGAACGTTTATCATCTCTACCAGGGAAATCTAGGTCAAAGATGAATGAAGGCAAGGAGGGTATCTGAAGAACTCCAAGGACCCCGGGGGGGGGGGGGGGGCCCCGGGGGGGGGGGGATGCACAGTAAGCATATACCAAGACTAAGAAATCAGGATCAGGGTACTATAGACCCCTAGCACCCTTCCCTCCCCTTCTCCCTTTGACTCTGGAAGGGTCAGAATATGGAAATAGGGCAGTCTGGAGAGAAAAATTCCATTATACCCCATTTCCTTTGCTATCTTTCTACCCCAAATATACCTGGGCTGAGCATGGAGGAAGTTCTAATCTTTATTAGTAACAATTCTGCCCAGTAGCTAGGACTGAAGATTAATTACTGAAATGACACTGTTTTATGCCTAGAATTAGCTGAACAACTTTATTAGTTGAGAAAGATCAAAAAGAGCTAATCTAATCCAAATATTAAAGGGACAAACTAGTCCCACAGAGCTGGTTTGAGGGAATCACTTAGGAAGGACAAAGCTGTTTCCCGGTTGTACCTCTCACATCTGGCTTATTCTGTGTACAGGATACACTTAAGATGAACCCTTTTCATGAAACATAGTGGAGGTATGGTGTTGCTTGACACATTTGTATTAACAAAATCTGTGGAAACTGTACCCAGCCCTTTAAGTTCTTAGCTGATGCTAGAAAAGAAAAGGAAAAACAGACTGAATGATTCCCATTAGGTGGCCTCCCCATTGGAAGATTCAAACACTGGCAAAGGCAGCCAAGACAATTCATCACACTGGCAGCATGTGTCAGAGACCCAAAGGTCTCTATCTGTAGAATACAAACAGAGGTGATGCTTCCCTTTATACCGACCACTGGGCCCCCAGCTCACTCCTGTCTTAGTTTTGGAATTGACTCTCCATTCATTTTTCCCCATTAGCATCAAGAGCCATGATTCATATGCTTGTGATAGCTTTTACTCCCATCCTGACTAGTGCTGTGATGGGGCATACGCAGCGCCCCAGGTAAGATTTCTTCAGAGTTGATCATCTAAGAGGCTCTAAATTGTTTGGCAATTAAGTCATCACTTTATTCCCACATAACTGTGTGGCATCATATGTTCGCTACTTGCAGAAAATTAGAAACAACAATATATCTGCATATTTGTTTCAATTTTAAATGCACTCCATTACAAGAAGCACAGTGACCCAACCACCTGTAAGATACAGTGAAAGAAAGACCTAGGCTAGGTGCTAACAGGATTGATACATGCCCTGTCCTCCTCTATCCAGATGACCGCTTTGCTTGCTTACCTAGCCTCCTTGGTACCAGGTTAACTGGCTTCGCTCTATGTTGCTCCTTCCACTTCTCCAGGTTCTCCAGCTCTTTCTCAGCAACTAAGTCAAGTGAGAAATATAAAGTCATCAATCATTAGAATGTTAAAAGGAAACTGATCCCTTTAAGGCATTAAAAACAATCATTAGAGGGCAATTAAATACATGCAGGTATGGGTGGATGAGATATCCGGGAAAGGAAGACACCATTCAGTCCTAACCCCTTGAAGTCACCCTGGGCCCACCTCTGTGGCAATGTCTCTGCATAGGAGGTTCAAATATGGAAAAGAACCTGAACTCCTACTAAAATAAAAGAGTTTCCTTTTTCTTCCCATTCTAGAGAATGTGTGCAAAACTAGAATAATCATGTCAATAAGAGCTTTTCACGCATAGGTAAATATATATTCCCAAGTAATTCTGATGCCCACATTCTTTATTTTAAGTGTTCCCAAATCTTACTGCAACTATACAATGTGAGAGCTCTGCACTGCAGGTGGGCAACCCTGCTCTGGTTTCTGGCACTTGGGAGAGCAGTGCTCATTCCCCAAAATACACTCAGTGACAGCAGGGGGCGCCAGAGATACTAGTTCAGTACTTCCAATGCAGGCCCGAATCTCCACTTAGACCTGATTGTTCCAAATGTCCATTTATAACATTTTTTAACTATTAGAGAAAAAGCTTTCTGAAACACCTCAAAAATCCGGAGCACACTGAGACTTAAGTATTTAAATCAAACGCTTGTGAGATGCCAAAACATTTGGAATTCTGTTGGTCAACTGTTGGCAGTGCCCACTCACTACATAGCAGCATTTGTCATATTCTGCACTGAATATTAAAAGGAAACCTCCAGTTTTACCACCAGGAGGAGAGCTGTTTGCTTTCCTGTTGTGCTCTTATGTCCATCATTAATCATAAAATTAAATTTCCTACAAAGATCTAATAAAGGAGATAGTCCCACAATTGACTTGAACAAGCTTCGTAACTTCTTTGTGAACTAAATTTTAGTTCTCCTTCCAACTCGAGTGTATAATGCTATAATTTTAAATGACAGCATTTATTTTGCTGTACAATTCAATTAAATATCTTAATATCCACAAAAATGAGTACAGTGTGGTCCCTTCCTCAAAGATGTGGTAATCTAAAAAAAAAAAAATTAAAGTACAGCAGGTCCTCCAATATGTTGTTTTATTATAATGTTGATGAGATGCCATAGGAACTTAGCTTTTGTTTATATCAAGTAGCCTATGGTAAAATTGGTTTTATTATACATTGTTTCACTTGAAGTTGCAGAACCTATAAGCAATGTGAATTGAATATACTTACTTTACACAAATAAAAATAACAGAGTAGACTGTGATAGTTACAAAAGTATGAGATCACAGAAGCTTAAAAATAATTCCATTATGAAGGGATAAAACATATCAAGAAAGAGACAAGTTATTTCAAGTACATAATTATTTTAAGTATATAACTTGTCTATCTCAAAAGTAGTCATCTATAATAATTAAAGCATAATATGCAAATCGACCAAACGACCGAACAGCAGAAAGATCGTCTGGCCAACCTTCCGGACGACCATGCTATGACACGCACTGGCGCCAGGCCAGCCAAGGTGGGTGCAATACAATTGGTCGGGGGGCCCGCCATCACCCCACGATAGCCCCACAGAGGGAGGCCCAGGCCACCAGCTGGGGGGTGATGGGTGGGGGCAATCAATCAGGAGGCTCCACGGAACTAGGGAACTTGTGTGGCGGCAGACGCAAGCAGTGCCAGGCCAAGGTGGGTGCAGGCAGGGGGCAGGGGCCAAGAGGCAGCCAGGGCTGCAAAGGCCTACCCTTGCTCGAATTTCATGCATCGAGCCTCTAGTAGTCCTATAAAAATATCTGCAGTCAGCCCAACTTTACAGGAACGAGAAAAAGGTCTATTGGCAAACTGTTTAAGCTCAACAGAAATCTAAGATTTATAATCATGCAATGAGTTCTGCTTTTAGCCTAGAGAAACAAGTTTAGAAGCATTAACAGTATATAATTTTAAAAGGTAGAATTAACACTGCTAAAGTTAAAGAAAAAAAATTGATGAGATCTAGTGAGTATATTCAAATCAGAAAATAAAAATACTTTAGACCAAAACAAATCAATTATACTCTATAAGAACATGAGAAGCTTTCTGAATGTTAAATAAATATACATACTCCTTTGTATCTGCTTTCTTCGGTTTTCATTTGGTGCTATCAAGGTGTAGGCACCTATGCTAGAATGAAGAGGGAAAAATTGTTTATTATCATGAGAAACTACTAATGCCTATAAACCACCAAACATTCTTCCTGCCGATACACTATTTACTATCATCACCATCAAATATGTGCTTTGGAAGGTACTCTTCCTATTAAGACCCAGGTCTGTTCTCCAGAAGCTTTACAATCTAGTTGTCAAAGGAAAACAAATGCAGAGTGACAAGTGACTGCTTCACTGTTGGCTCCTGGTAAACTCTTTTTGCAGGGACCCACCGCTCCTCTAGGTGATGCTCATGAGCAAATCTCTTTGAGGTGGCTTTAGATGGGCATCCTCTTCCACACGACTGGCCCATATTGGGAGTAAAAGAAACACTCATGCATTCTTTGTTCCCACAAACGGTGAATATGGGCCATTTGCAATGCAGCCATCTCTTTTAACATTATTTTTATTGAATTTCCTAGAGGCCCAGCACACAAAATCATGCAGCCCCACCCACCCACCACCCTGCCACGCTCGTGCCCCACCTACCCGTTCTCGTCTCGCCACGCCTGCCTTACTGTCCCACCCACCTGCTGCCCCGCCTGCCCACCAGCTGCCAGCCTTGCTGTGATTGGAGCCTGTGGGCCACAGGGGAGGGACCGAGAGGTGCTCCATGCACTTCATGGTGACCAGTTGTTTGGTCATTTTGGTCATGATGCCTCTGGCCTTTTATTATTATGACTAGAGGCCCAGTCCACAAAAATTTGTGCACTCGGGGGGGTTCCTCAGCCCGGCCTGTGCCCTCTCCCAGTCTGGGACCCCTCGCAGGATGTCCATCTGCTGACTTAGGCCCGCTCCCCAGGGCATTGGGCCTAAGCTGGCAGTCAGACATCCCTCTGGCAGCCTGGGAACCCTCGGGGGATGTCCACTTGCCAGCAGGGAGCAGGCCTAAGCTGCAGTCAGACATCCTTAGTGCTGCTGAGGAGGC